AACAACAACAACATGAGTAGGAGCGACTCGATGTCACCTAACAACAACCATCTTTGTAATTCTGTTTTTTGGAGCACATCGCCACTTGGCTCTGTGTTCCCCATTCTGCAAAACGCCTGTCATTAACAAAACTCTTTGTTTTTACTTTAAATAGATTTTTTTTTTTTTTACTACGACAACCGTCCAGGAGATGGGTTGACACAGTGGCTGCGACAACAGGCTCAAACAGCAACTGTTGTGAAGATGGCGCAATACCCGGCAGTGTTTCCCTCTGTTGCACATACGGTCATCATGAGTTGAAACCGACTGGTCGGCACCTAACAAGAAGAAGCCAGAACAACAGAGAGACTACCCTCTTCCCTGTCGATGGGGGCGAGAGTCGAACTTGCGAAACCAGTCAGTTCCGGAACAATATGCACAGACCAGACTGCGCACGTGCAGGACCAGAAGCCATGGTCCTAAACGGGCGGGACCCAGAGCCCTGAGTGAAATGTCTGGCGGCCCCCCCGCGCCCGCGACGCCTCTCCCCGGCGCTTGGCCACCAATGTATTCACAGGGCCCGCCCCTGACGGCACGCCCCGCCCTTGGTGACGCTCTCCGCCCCCTGACTACGCGCCCCGCCCCTGGATACGCACAGCGCATATCCGGAATCCAAGGCGGAGCGGGCGAGTAGGGCCCTACGGTGCCCGGCCGGGGGTCCGGCCCTCGGGGCCGCAATGAAGCTGACACGGAAAATGGTGCTGTCCCGGGCTAAGGCCTCGGAGCTGGACAGTGTGCGAAAGCTCAACTGCTGGTGAGGACCCGGGGCCGCCCTGCGGTCTTCCTGCCTGCGTCTCTGCCCGGGCTAGGGCTGTGGCGAGCCGGTGGGAATCGGTGCGCGAGGGGATTGGAGCGAAAAAGCCTCCAGGCTGCCGCCCCAGAGTGCCCTGGCGGCCTGCTGGCCCGATGCCTCCGGGAGGTACTGCTTCAAGTCCAGGTGGCCATTGGCAAAGGCCATATCAGACAGTTCACGCCCCACTGAAGGGCGGTGTTTGGGACCCAGACCTGCTGCCTTTTCTTCAGACTAGTCTGTAATACCCTCTAAAACTCGTTGCCAGGCTTTTAAATAATTTTAGTGGGAGCAGATGATTCCCTCTGGATGGATCTGATACATGGACTTGCCAACAGTCATTGAAACCCAGTCTTTTAATAAGCTGGAAGATAAAGCTGATTAATACTATACCCAGGGGGTGAGAAAGAAAACTGGGACTAGGAAATAATGATTCAGTAAGCATGGACAGGGCAGCGTTTAGTTCTTTTATACATAGGTCAGAGCTGACTCCTGCACCTGACAGCAAGAAGCTGATATGTAATTCAGTCGTTGGGGAAGGGAGTCTGTCCCCAGAAGATGCACTCATTGAGAGAGAAGTGACAGGAAGGCCTGCAGATACTATGGAATCAGCAGAGGAGAGAGTAACCAGGGCTAGATGAGGCAAGGGAGGACCAGAAGCATTTCCCAGAGAAGGTAGCCTAGAGCTGGGGTCCAAAAAGATCTACAGATGGGGACTCGAAGCAAGGCTTAATGTGCCCCCTGTAAGCTGGACAGCCAGCTCAGGTAGGGAATAGGATGTGTAGCCAAGAGCAGTGGCTTACACCGGGTTCCGCCATAGGCTGTAGGTGCCTGAGCCTCCGGCATGTTAATTAAAAAGCTTTTCTCTTACCTTTGTGCATCTGGTATAAAATTTCCCTCCTATTATTTGCTTTCAATAAGGCATTTCTTTGTTTTGGAAAAGATATTCAAAGTCAGATTTATGATCTTTCCCTGAACAGGGGAAAACAGTAATCCTTTTTCAGGCTTTCTAAGGTTTGTTTCATACATCACATGTTTAGCCTTTGAACTTGGCCTCTCAGAAAGACTCCCTTGTTTACATCAGTAGGGGAGATTAAACCTTTCTGTTCTGTGGCTATTGTGAGAATGAGTAAATCTTTTCTGTCCTCCAAATAAGAGCACCCAACAATGTTCCTTAGTCTGAAAGTACCCCCCAGCATCAAACATAATCCAATGTTGTTGAAAATGATTTTTGGCCATCTTTGTCTTTCTTGTTGATAGTTGCTTTTGAGTTGATTCCAAACTTTTTGGAAGCAGATTGCCAGGCCTTTTTTTTTTTTTTTTGAGGCATCGCTGGACGGGTTTGATGTGCCAACCTTTTGGCTAGTAGTCTAGCCACTGTTTGTACCACCCTGGGACTCTAGTTCTATCTGCATAAGACAGAAAAAATGAAATACAGTGTAACCACATTATCTTCTTTAAACAATCAAATAAGTAAAATTCTAAGGCCTCACCCAACCCAGTGTCAAACTATAAACCAAACCTTCTCAAAGTCTAATACTGATTAGAAAAGGGGAACAGCCCCCAAGAGTAGCGTATCTGCCCACCCTATACCTTTATTTCATACTTCCCAGCACCAGTTCTTTTACCTGCAGAAATCATTCCATATAAAACTACCTTCTAAGGCATTTTTCTTCCCCCAGAACATAAAAACTCTTGGGTAATTAATGTGTCGGGGAGGAGCTCTGGTGGCGCAGTGAATTAGTGTTCAGCAGCTGACTGAAAGGTTGGCAGTTTAAGTCCACCAGGTACTTTGTGGGAGAAAGATGTGGTAGTCTGCTTCCATAAAGATTGTTGTTGTTGTTGTGTGCCGTCGAGTCAGACCCGACTCATAGCGACCCCTCTTTGGGTTTCTGAGGTGGTGTCACTACTCATAGCGACCCCTCTTTGGGTTTCCGAGGTGGTGTCACTACGGAAGTAAATTGCCCAACCTTCCTTCCGAGGAGTGGCTGGTGGGTTTCAACTGCAAGCCTTCTAGTTAGCAGTCAAGTGCCTTAGGCACTATGCTACCAGAGCTCCCTCCCTAAGGATTATAGCCTTGGAAACCCTATGGGGCTGTCCTATAGGGTCACTGAATTGGAATTGACTTGCAGTAGGTTTATCGTTCAGGGAATGAGCGATATTCCTGTCAGATGGCAAAGAATAGACCTTTGGTATGAGACCAATTTGGTTGTGAATCTTAATTCTGCCACTGACTAACTTTGTTGCTGTGAGCAAATTAGCCTGCCTCTTCCTTGCAGCCACACTTTTATGTCTATAAAAGAAGCAGCTGGCACTTACCTTGAGGAGCTCTGGTGGTACCGTGGTTAAGGGATTTTGGCTGCTAACCAAAAGATTGGTGGTTTGAACCCACCAGCAACTCCCACAGGAGAAAAATGAGTCAGTCTGAGATTTATGGAAACCCAATGGGGGTGGCTATGAGTTGGAATCCACTAGATGTCATTGAAAGTTTTAGCACTTGCCTCACAGTATTGTTGGGAAGGTTGGAGAAACAAACTCAGGGCCCCACTGTTTACTCAGTAAATATATTTCTCTCCTATACCAATAGAAAAAAATTGAGTGCATCATGTTGTAGTTTAACATTTGGGGTTGGGGACAATGATTGGTGAGCTCTATCATAACCTGGTCTTTTTAAGAAAACTTATGCATTACAGGCATGGAACTGCAGAATATAAAGTATGTTTTAGCATTTTAGAGTTCATTGTCAACAGGAAATGTTCCAGAAATCATACAAAAAAGAATGAATACACACACATATATCCCTTAGAACTTTATAAAGTAAAAAAAAAAAAAAATCACATTAATCAACAATTAGCTTGGAGATACAAGGTAACTTTCTTTGTAGTCTTTTGCTGCCTCATAAAAATCATAGGTTTGTGGGCATTTGCCATTCATTATGAAAAAAAAAATTTCTTTTCATTTAACTTCAACAAAATTAAAGTGTGTATCTCTTTTCTTTCCCCAGGGGCAGCCGCCTCACTGATGTAAGTATTGTGCCGATTATCTTCAAATGGGTCCTAATCCCCGAAGTTCGCTTCTTCCCCAAAAGCACTGTTAGACAAAACTGCACCCATTGCATTGCCTTACCTTTAATCTGGTATTTTGTTGCCTGCATGGTTTTGTAATGTAAAAAACTCACTATAACTATGTTATCCACTTTTATATTGAAATCCTTTAAAGATTCATGGATAATGACACACATGATGTCACTTACAGTTCCTGATCAGAAGTGTGTGTGCACTGGGAGGAGCGCAGATACCAGTTCTGGCCTTGTCCTAACATGGAGAATTCCAGAAGCTTTAGTTTTATTAAGGAGAAGTGTAGTTACTTGAGAGTCTTTATATAGATTCCTGGGTTTCTCAGCCCCTTGCTTCATGTCTTTGGTCACACCTAGCTTCCTTCAGCCCCCACCCCATGACAGGAAGAGAGTGGACCCACCACTATGGGGGAGGGGTGTGGGGCTGAGTTTCTACATGTCTGAATGGACTTCTCCCTTTCTCTTTCTATCCAAGAATGAATGCCCCCAGCTGACATAGGGAAATATGCCAGTCGTTATTTCTTTGTCTACTTTTGCTTTGTAACTGGAAAACAAAATTGGAAATGCAGACAAGCCACCTAGGCTGGTCCAGAAAGACCTATTGCACCTCCTGCTGTAGCTGAAATACTCCCTCCAAAAAAAATACGTAAACTCACTGCCATCAAGTTGATTCTGACTCATAGCGACCCCCACTGGGTTTCTAAGGCCGTAAACCTTTAGGGAAATAGAGTGCCCATTCTTCCTACCTCAGAGTGACTGGTGGGTTTGAACTGCCAACCTTCTGGTTAGCAGTCAAATGCCTTAGGCACTGTGCCACTAGAGCTCCTCCCTACTTAACAGCAAACATAGAGGCAAACAAGAATGTCACAGTCTAGAAAACACATCTGCACACATGAAATACTTTGACCAGACTGTGAACTCAATTCTCTTTTCATCTCAGCAGAAGGGGAATTAAGGTCCCATTACCTGGTGCCCTTTAAGGGCATCTAAAATTACAAATGCCCCATCTCCACCAAAACCAAAACCAAACTCACTGTCATTAGGTTTCCGAGGTGGTATCTCTACGGAAGTAAATTGCCTAGTCTTCCTTTTGAGGAGTGGCTGGTGGGTTTGAACCGCCAGGCTTCTGGTTAGCAGTCAAGTGCTTTAGGCACTACGCCACCAGAGCTCCCAAAGTGGGCAGTAATTGATGGTAGTGGTATTTACATAGACGTAGAGAGTACATAAGGAATTCTAGTGATGTAGTGCTTTA